TTTAAAACATACTTCAAGAATGATCCCAGATAAGCTACAGAGTAACTCCCATTAAATCTTTTTGATTTCACTTCATTTTTAATTATCATTACACACAGTGTAAAAGCCATCTTGGGATGGATGGTCAGCAAAGAGCTTAATTTGCAAACATCAAATAAATAAACAAAAACACATAAAAAAGATTTCAGCATTCTAGCAATTATATATTTGTGCTTAATATGAGGCAGATTATGGTTGTCGTATCTAAGCGAAGCCAGTATTAGAATAGTCTCAATGGTTCTTGAGGACCGTCCTTCATCTGAATGAAGGGACATTCAAACCTGCCAGTTATCATTGACCTTCTGATATCGATCAATGTTTGTGCAGGAAAAGTTGTATTTGATTCCCAAAGAGCAGATGTGGCAATGAAATTGATTTCTTTCTTTATCAAGTACAAACGCATAAGATGTTTTTCTCATTGCTTCGTACAATGAGCCAAACAATTTAAGCATTTCTCAAAAAGAAATTCACAGAAATAACCTTCAGAACAGTATTTGTTGTCGTGAGTCTTTTTTTGTTGTTTGAAAATACGGATCACAAAATAATAATAAAATAAAAATTTAATAATAATAAAAAAAAAAATTCACCATGGGCTCTGCTGGCTCTAATTTATTTTCAATAATTAATTTTGTTCTTTAGAGTGGGAATTTGAGTGAGAACTTGAACCATTAAAGATTGATGTAACAATAATAGATCCAATTGTATAAGAATATCATGAGAACACAATATAAAAAACAATATATAATAAATAAGTAGGACAAAAAATAAAAGTATTCTTTAAAAAGATTAGCAATTAACCTGAAAGTGCCGAGAATGGTTCTCAAAGGCTCAAATCCTTACTGACAGAATATTTCATTTAGTCAGAAATGAATCATCTTCAAATATGTGACCCTGGACCACAAAACCAGTCATAAGTAGCACGGGTATATTAGCAGTAGCCAAAAATACATTTTATGGGTCAAAATTATAAATTTTTCTTTTATGCCAAATATCATTAGGATATTAAGTAAAGATCATGTGACATAAAGATATTTTGTAAATTTCTTACCATAAATATATCAAAATGTAATTTTTGATTAGTAATATGCATGGCTAAGAACTTCATTTGGACAACTTTAAAGGCGATTTTCTCAATATTTAGATTTTTTTTTGCACTCAGATTCTAGATTTTCAAATAGTTGTATCTCGGCCAGATATTGTCCTATCCTTATTTATTCAGCTTTCAGATGATATATAAATCTTAAAATGCCTTTTTTAAACCCTTATGACTGGTTTTGTGGTCTATGGTCCCATATGTGTTCTCATAGACTGAACTCTCTGATCTACTAAATATTTATTTTTCTATTGTTATATATTATAAAGTAATTCCTGTCATGGCAAAGCTAAATTTTCAGCAGCTATTACTCCAGTCTTCAATGTCAAATGAATTATTCTAATATGCTGATTAGCTGTTCAAATTTTGTTTTTATTGTTTTCATGGTTGAAAAAAAAAATTGTGCTGTTTTAACATTTTTGTGGAATCATGATATATATTTTCATCAGGACTCTTTAATAAATAGAAAGTTCAAAAGAACAGCATTTATTTTATTATATAGCATTTAATATATCTCTTATGAAACAAAGTGTTCTTCATTAGGATGTAAACCGAATCACACTAATGACTGCAGACTCGCTGGACAATCACTCATTTATTTTCATTTCCTCAGTGCTCATTCATCTGCTGCTGGATCTGCTCCCAGAAAACCTGTCTGAAGCGATGTGCTGATTTCTACGGTTTACTTAATCTTGAATGTGCATCATTTAAAAATATGGGGTGGGGGCAATCCTGCCTGTCCTGTTTTTGTTTCCAGAACAGTACCATCTATTGGACAGCATGCTGTGCTCCGTTTCAACTTCTCTCTCTCCTCACACCTTCTCAGTGCCACTGTTTAACTACATTCCTCCCACCTCCACAGTCCAAACATGTCCAGTCGCACCAGTCTGTTAGCGGCCGACTATTCATCACAGCCCCTCTAAATAAACAGCTGAGGTGTTTGAGAGATGGCCACATTGAGGCCACTCATTGCTCGTTCATTGGAGGAAAGTAACCCCAATTACTCAAATGAAGTAATTACGTTTTCCTCTTGGATATATTCACAAACCCGAATCCCTTCACCTTCACATCTGCAAATTGTTCGGCTCAAGTTCAAAATGAATTGCTACTTTTTATTGTTATAATGCTTTAATGAAATCCTTCTATCCAAGGTTGTCTCTTCAGATTTGTGAGCTGAATGTTAGGGGGGGAATGCATGAATGAAATACAGACTACTCATGCTGTCAAAAAAACTTTTATGATTATTTTAAAAGATAGCACAAAGCTTATGCAATGGTAAAATCTAGATTAAACTATAACATTACAAACCAAAAAATGTAGCATTAAAACCTCACCGCTTCCCAACCAGCCACACTTCAATGGTCAGTACCGGCTGGTGGAGCAGTTTAAAGCAACTATTTATCCTCGGTGTTAAGTTACAATGCCTGTTAGTGTTCTCACAAATATCAGACTGGCATCAGCGCTCTCTCCCTCCCACCGCTCTCTGCCCGCTCCCTCTTTGAAGTAGGGATGATTGACAGCCAGGGTTGCTCCTTGCCCAATAAAGATTGGGTCATCAGTAGTGGATGGCCGCAGATGGCATATCTCTCATAATCCGGTGTGTGGATCTTTCTCTGTACTCTCAGCCACCATGGCAGCGCAGCTGAATACAGGACATAAAGCTGTCATAGAACAGCGTCATCATAAATTCACAGAATTACCCATTAAAGAAGCAGGGCGTGAAATCATTGAAATGCTTCAGAATGTAGGCAATGTTCGAAAATAAAGCTGTATCTCTGTGAGGAGAGTTTTCACCACCCTTATATTGATAAAGATCAAGTGTTTGAATGAAATTGATCAAAAGTGGCAGTAAAGATATTAAAGTAAAAAAATCTTTTGAACTTTATATTCATTAAAAAAAAAAATCTTGAAAAAAATGCATCATGGTTTCCACAAAAATATTAGGCACCACAACTCTTTTCAAAATTTTTCCAAAGGTTTTTTTCCCAGCATATTAGAATGATTTCTGATGGATCGTGCACTGAAATCTGAAGTCGTGGCTGCGAATTCAGAATTCAGATTTGCCATCACAGGAATAAATTACATTTTTAAATATATTACAATAGAAAATAGTTTTTATAGAATAGACTGTTTTTAATGTATTTTTCATCTAATAAATGCAGCCTTGGTGAGCATAAGAAACTTCTTTTCAAAACATTAAAAAATGAAATGGTTGACCGGTAATGTATACTACTAGCCTAATTTTTGTTTATGATACAATATAGAAATCTCTGAGATGAGAGACAGGAAAAATTGCACCAGACAACCTGCATTTAAATGAACATGTTAGGCAGGACATGTAACCCAGCACTGATACTGAAGCAATGTGCTGTCAGGCATTTTACACTATACTGTACACTAATACAAAAACAACACAAAAGTGATGCCAGTTAGCCTCCCCACTAAGAAAAAAACTGTGCTAAGTGCTGATGCCTTGAGCAGAAACAGAAATAGATCCTCATTAAAAACCTCGAAATGGAGCGTCTGATGGGGCTTCCCCATTACATGGACTGTCAAATTGGCGCCGTGAAAGTTTGGCCACATCCTTCAAAAAACATCAAAGCTTGATATCTATAAATGACTAGTAGGAGTGGTTTAGCTTTCAATATGTGATTGTAGACATCAAGAAAAGGAAAATAGTTTGTGTTGATTACAAAGTTACACAACTGCTGGTCTCACTCAGTCCACTGTGGCGTTTTTGAGCCTTCGTGGAATGTGCAGCCAAAATTCTTCTGCAATAAAAACTTGTAACTGAATACACTTACTAATCCAGCCAAGACAATCAAAAGCATACATCAGCTGAACCCTCAGTCACTTCCCACTCATGGCACAGCATGATATTACGGGACGGAGTCTGGGAGCAAGAAAAGACGGGACTTATTTAAGGGTTCCCACTCAAAACTTCACTATGAGAATGTGTGAAGGAAAGAGTTTCCCAAGTTGGACTGTATATTGTGGTTGTGCTGTTTGGTGCTTTTGTATCAAGCATCTAGAATAGAGATGTAAGATTGATTATGGGTGGTCGTGTGGGAGGTGAGTGGGAGGGGTAATTTAATGTGACAGTCCTAAAGAGAGCACCAGTTAGGCCAATATATATATATACAGTATATATATATATGGCCACATCGTAAGGGCGTATATATATATATATATATATATATATATATACATATAAAATTGTATATGTCCCACTGTTTGTTCTACAGACAGTATACTGCCATTAGAACAGGACTACATTTTAATGTATAAAGTAACATCAGAATAATGAAACAAAATAACAAATCATGAAACAAAACAGCAACAATGTAAATGGTAACAAATATATATATATATATTTTGCTTGTACTGTAATTAAATAAATTGTAATTAAGTTGTTTACATTACATTTTTTGACTAAATCCTGAATTTGTTTTTTATTAAGTTTTATTGTGTGTTTACATTTTTAAACTGCCAACTAGCAAAAATATTATAAGGGAATTTTCGTTTAGATGTCATAAATCACAAAGAATTTTTTTTTTAAGCTTTTTGAATACGCAACATTATTCTCTGTAATTGGACTTTTGTGTGACAACTAGCCCCAATCTGCCCTACTTTCTTTTCTTTATTCACAAGCATGAGCAACACTAAAATCTAGACAGCTGATGCTTCATTTGTATCAAATCACTTTGTCGCAGTTGATTCTTTATAAAAATCGATTTACCACGCCCTTACGAAGCACAATTGGTTTGGATGTGTCCACGGAGCCAATCAGAAACCCCTGCCTGACCCGTCCCGACAACAAACCACCATGCTGTCCTCAGTGTCCTGAGATCCGGCATAAGGTCCCCAGGGTTCATCATCTGTGCGCACGAGACCCCATAAAACAACCTTCACGGTCTCTGCAGTTGGGTTCTTCACTCAACAGGACAAAGCCATGAAAGCCTGAAAATGGATGAAAAAGGCGAGATGCATTTTGACAAACCCTGCAACTTCTGCCATACTGAAACCAGCATGATTCCACATAAGCTGAAGACTTCAGAGAGGAGTTATTAGCTACATAAACTGTGAGGATGAAGTGATTATTGATGATGACGTTATGAAATAACCCCACAAACAGCGCAAGTTGAGAATGGCGTATCACCACTTTATACCGGCCAGTCCTACTGACCTCACTATTAGTTCGATGCTTGGACAGCAGTCCCAGTTTTTTCCTGTTGGATACGGGAAACAGCTTGCGAACGTGCTCCATAACTCGGTTCGTCTGGCGCGCAAAGACGCCGCGTCTCCAGCGCACCTCTCTGTGGAGACCAGAGACCCTGGACTTGCACCTGAGGATGACCCCGTGGTTCACCTGGAAGGCAAGGAACTGTGGGGGCAGTTTCACAGAAGCGGCACGGAGATGGTAATAACAAAGTCTGGAAGGTAAGAAGGTGATTTACCAACAGTGTTGGGGGTAACGCATTACAAGTAATGCGAGTTACGTAATCAGATTACTTTTTTCAAGTAACTAGTAAAGTAACGCATTACTTTTTAATTTACAAGATAATATTACTTTTGTTACTTTTTCAAATAAGTAACGCAAGTTACTTTTTTTTCCAATTTATTGATTGACAGCTCTCCAGTCTCCATGTTGAGAGAAATCAGATGTTACTGTAGTTCTAAAATAGATATGAATATGCATTAATTAATCTCACTCACAAAAACAAAAAAAACAAAAAACAGATTCAGTATTCCTCAAAATGAATAAAAATAATGCAACTCAGAATATGAAACTGAACAAAGTTCATTTCAGAGTGTGTCCCCTTTTGCTTTGAAGACAGCAGTACTGGAGCTACAAGAACACAAACTTGTGATCATATTCTCCAGCATTATCTGAGAATGATTCAAACAGCACATTGTACTAAGCAAATCTGACCTTTGAAATAAAAAAATTGTTCACATGATCAATATTCCAAATGTACTTATTATTTGATTAGTGCAAAATCTTTCTTATTTACATCATGTTTCTTTGTCTTCTTATTTATATCATGCTTTTTGTTGAATACATTTTCTTTATTTCCAGGTTTAAATTAGATTTTTAACCTCAGATTTTCAAGTGTGAACTTTTGAGCAGCACTGTCTGAAAATAATCATTTTATTATCCACTGACATATGTATTTTTCGATAATTAGGAAACAGGTGATGCATCAGAGGTGTGATGTGGCACCGAAAAAAGCCAATGTGTTCACAGACGACTCGTCTTTTGTCCTAAGTTCATCAAATCCCTTAATTCAAGAAACGAATGTCGTTACATCAACTTCAACAGGTGTTCAGTTGGAATTTATACTAAATCTATATTTATACTTTATAACAATCTATAATAAATGTCAAACTGTTTATTATTGTAAAAAATTTTATACTTATGTATAAATTTTTATACTTACGATATTAATTAATTTGCTTTTATTTTCTCTTTTATTATTGATATTGTTCTTGTGATTCCTAACACACATTTATGAGATATTTATTCTACAGATACGAATGAGAGTGACATTGATGGATATGGAGATGAGAAGGAAAGCAATGAAGATGGAAAGCATTCGATTTCTCAAGATGAGCAAAATTCCACAGAAATCTCAACAACGGTGCAGGAGTCCAAGGGCATTACAAAAGAGGAGATACAAGGAGAAAGGAAAATGAGGGTCAACTGCAAAGAAAAGCATAGTAAAGAGGGTACTGAACATTTAACCTTGGATAGAAAACATGCTGAACAACACAAGTTTGCAGATGATGTGACTGACGTTTCTCAGAAGGCTTCGCTCACTCGGCACTATTGCATCCCCACTCCTGGCCTAATTAATTCTCTGTGTGTGCCGCCACATGTCTTGTCAAATTTATGCCAGTTTAATTATGTTGGAACACTTCCGTTTTTGGCATCTGAAACAACTGGTCCTTGGTTATCTAGAAGGTCAAATGAAGGGGAGGGTCAAGATTACACCACTTCAGTTCCATCCTCACAACAAAGATTTATTGGCATGCAGCAGCACAGAACAACCTCTCAGGTAGGTTGATCATTTATGATGTAAGTCAATTTAGTTGAATATCATTAAAAAATAAATAGAAATACAATTATTTATTGCAAAACAAACAAAATATGTTGTTTTATTGACTTTAACTTGCATGTAAAAATTTGAACAACAACAACAACAAAATTAATATGAATAAAAAAATAATGTTTTGATCTGATTGCTCTTGTATCTTTTTTTTTTAGACCAGATGAATTCATATTCTGTCAAGATCCAGTCGATCACGGAGGAAATGTCTCTGCCTTTCAGGAACTGGGCTATGGATGTGTAAAGGCGAGTACATTTTTATTGGAAATATATGGTGCACTAAGAATTTGCGTGCCAAGCGATGTTTATAGTCAAGCTAAAAACTTAAAACGTATATTTTCTTGTAGTTTGGCGGTCAAGCGTACAAAGATGTGAACCATACACAGGTGTTTTGCACGGCACTGGATGGCATAGAGTGCGCTGGACCAAGGGAATTTCTCAGAGGCAATGAGCCATGCATTAAGTAAGTGAAAGGGTTCCCACTACTGGAAATATAATACCAATTAATACATCATATTTGGCAGAGGCTATGTGCATGTTAAATTCTTTACACAAGTGGAAGAGAAAGTTTTCTTTTCACTAGGTGCTATAGTGATTAAAAGCATATTAATAATGCTATTAATATTTGATTGTAAATAGTGGTAGATACTATTTGCAGCTTGTAGTACATTATAACACAGTAGGATTGGGGTTTATTTTAAGTTTGACCCATAACCTGCTGATCAATAGAGGTGTCCTTAAAGGTCCAGGTCTGCGGTCAGTGTGCCTCATCAACGTGAGGACATCAAATCCAGTTTCAATTATAGGCCTATTAAATACCCATTAGGCACTTTATTTCCACTTTTCAATTATTTTTGTTCTTTTTATTATTTAAAATGAACTCCTCTCGCTGATAAGGCATTTGAGATTTTGAGATGTGTCAAAAGATAAATCCACTATCATTATTTTGGAACCGGCTCAACCAGATCAGTGGTGGGCAGAGATAGTGTATATGGCTTTTGCCAACAAAATGGGCTATTTGCACGTAGTGTTAGTAAAAATATAATTTGTTTAGTCATGGAATTGTTTATAATAAATATGCATCTTTCTAGTAATGGTCAGCTGTAAAATAGTTATTGCTGATCTTGATTGCTCGCCATAGAAATGTTCACAAAACTGGCTCACAAAATAGTCGGAACAATTCATTAGCGAATTGGTCTTATACATCTTTATTCAGTAATCACAATTGACTAGAAAGGTCATGGGAAATTAAATGGTCAAGAACGTTGGAACCCTGCTAATAGGGAATTTTTATTATTATTTTTTTAAACATGAGATGGAAGCCAGTTACACATAGCCTTACATCATTTTTAATTTCTATACCACAAGAGGGCAGTGAAGTACTGTGGATCCCAGATTCCATGTACTGTGTACTTTATGCTGTTAATCTCAAGACTGGCCTTCAGTAAATAGAGCTGCAGCAATTCACAAGCTTTACACTAAACATAAACTTTGAAACTATTCCCACTATTAACTCTTTTCCTTTGTGATTTATTAAGATACACAGGACACTACTTCATCACCACCCTACTGTACTCATTTTTCCTGGGGTGTTTCGGTGTCGATCGGTTCTGTCTCGGGCACACTGGGACTGCGGTGGGAAAGCTGCTTACCCTGGGAGGTCTTGGCATCTGGTGGTTTGTGGACCTCATTCTCCTGATAACAGGAGGCCTGACCCCCAGCGACAGCAGCAACTGGTGCACTTTCTACTGATTTAAGAGTTGTATCTGATTCACCTTTCTCATGCTCACAAGTTATATTTAATACACTGTATGCATGTGGGCTTACATGGGCCTTAGCTGCCATTTATTATTTGTAAAATACTGTTCTTTTTGTTTCTTTTGTAACGTGTTTATGTGAAGCAGTGTTGTAAATAAATGTCATCTTCAAAGAGTAAAACTCTTAATTATACATCAATATTTATGATGATCTGATTGTGATATTTTTATTAAACGAACAACATAGTCGGCTAGGAAATTAGTCAGATATTTTCAAAATGCACTACGCTTGTCTTTGTCCTTTACTGTTATATGGTCTTTCTGAACATGCTCCCCGTTACAAAATGATGTTTAAAATCAAATCAAGATTTGTTTTCAGGGCTGGATTGCAGACTTGTGCCAAAACAGCTGCAGATATGCTACAGATCTTGTTTTAGACTGAATACCTACAAAAAGCTGTCAACGGACAGATGTTATGAAACAGCTTGCAATTAAAAGTACATACAATAATAGACTCTATTAAACATGCATCCTTTGGCAGAATTCCCATGGCTTTTTTCACACACCATTCAAAGCGCAATTTGGTGAGAAACTGTTAAAAGTTTTCTTTTTATTAATTTCCTCTTTCATGTTCTGTGGCTTGTGTGTTTCTTATACATTATGTATTATTTGCTGATGGATTGTACTGTTGGTCTGCTGAAAAAACTAGGCACTTGGGGATATGTTGCAACACATCCAAGTGCATTGCTTTAAAACAACATGTGCTTATAATTCAATAACCAATTACTCACAATTTTTGGCTTAGATAAAATCATATGGGTACACAGACTTGTTTGACTGGTGAAAATGACTATATTTGAAAACAATCGAAAGGCAGTAAGTGCATGCGATGTGTACGTTGACCGTGTGGTGGATTACAACCTGACAGATCATCAGCTTTAATGTTAACAACAAGATAATTCTTTCAAAACACAGTGCTTGTTTCTAGAGCACCAAATCAGCATATTAGAATGATTTCTGAAAGATCATGTGACACTGAGGACTGGAATAATGACTGCTGAAAATTCAGTTTTTCCATCACTGGAATAACGTCCATTATAAAAATATATAAACATAGAAAGCAGTTATTTTAAATTGTAATATTATTTCACAATATTACTGTTTTTACTGTATTTTTGATTAAATAAATGCCTCGATGAGCATAAGACACTAGAACAGTAGTGTACTGACACTACACTCAATCAGAATTATATATACAAAAGAACAATACAATCTTAATAAGACTTAAGAATAATTGGCCTTGACGCTTCATGATAATGTATGCTATTAATATAATGCCCTTTTTAAGTTATGCATGTTTGTGGATAATATTTTGTTTGGAGGTATGTAGATGTAGCACCAGAAAGCTTTATCAGTCCACTTCGTCAGGAACCACTGTTAGTGTGATTTCTTCATTAGCACGTCGCACCACCAAAGAAAGAACTTCGTTTGACTGCACAGCCTGACTCATGTCCTCTGTAGAATGCACTGGTTGTCCGTTAATGCTGATTATCACATCTTGGTTGACCAAGCCAGCGCTACAAAACAAATTGCAATATGTGAAATGTGATACTCCTCATTATTCTACTATTCTTGTATTGTGAGTGTTAATTGCAAGAGTTAACTGATCAGGCTTTGGATCTAAAATAAGAAAGCAATAGAGAATCCAAGGTGTTTGTCTTTAATTATCTGTAGTTTGTTCAAGTGGACAATCCGCTCGAAGACGACAGCTGAATCAAACATATCCACATGAAAAGATAAATTACCTAAAAATTTTAATTCTGTCATAATTTAAAGTATGTTTGGTTACCAACATTCTATTATGTTTCACAGAAGAAAGAAAGTGGTGTGAGAAAATGATATGAGGGTGAGAAAATGACAATTTTCATATTTAGGTGAACTACCTCTTAAAGTTTCAAATGACAGACACTTATACAACAAACAAAAAATACCACAGGAGGAATGTCATAGGACAGAGGTGCTACAGGAAAAATATATTCATTGGACAAATATGTAAAGGCTTTTATGGTATATGATGAGGATATAAATCTTGATTTGACTAAAGGTTATGATAGTATGAAAGGAGCCTCTGGCCCTAGATGAGTGAAGAAAGAGGTGTGGTTGTGGTTAATCGGGAGGTGCAGGCAAATCCCTTTACCTGAAGGCAGCTGTCCCTGGAATAACCTCATACACGTACACCCCTGAGCTCACATCTGGAAAGTTGCTCTCCTTCTCGTTGAGCTCCCTAATCAAACTGATGAAACAAATGTGATAATAAAAAAAACTATACATTTATCTTTATATAGTAATAAAAGCATATTTGAGAAGAAGAAAAAAAAAATCAAACTTACGCAGCTGAAAGTTGAAGCATTCACACTCCCATATATCGCCTTTTAGTCAGCATTCTTCCTGAAATGTAAGAAAACTGCTACTTAATTCAATCAAGATTAAAACAAATAAACAGATCAAAAGAAGTTTGCAAACCTTTTCTTTGTCTGTTATAAGAGTCCGCAAGGAACTAGCGTATGCGGTCCGAGGGAATGGCAAATGATATTCCTGGCGTAACCTTCAACGTGTTTATGCCAATGACATCCCCATCCTTGAAACCGCAAACAGGGAGCATAATATTGAAATGCACTGCAATGAATGAACAGCTACCTTGAGACACACAAGGGACGGTGATCACTGGGTATACTGGGTTTAATTTAATAATTAGGAGTAATAGGGAATATTGAGGTCATTATTTAAACAAGTACAATGTAAGATGTTTGCATGCACATATACAGTATATACCATTAGTAAAGCCATATCAACTTGAAATACAGCTTTTTTTCTTATACTATTGCATTGTTTAATTCCAGTTTTATGGTGCATCTGTGCAATGTTTTTTACATATTTTCAAGTATCCATTGTGCACTATAAATGGAAATATTTTTTTATTGCAAAGCCAGATGCTTGCTTGAGCCTGAGGCTCCTTCAAGGACACATGTTGTGTTTTCCTTTACAAAGATCAATAGAATAATATAAACCACTGCAGGTAATTTGCCCAGGGTATACAAAATTTCCAGATGGAAGCAGACATAGAAACAGTAGACGCTGCACAGTAAGGAACCATGAATACCAACATTGAATGTTGCACAAATAAAAACAAGAGTTATAACC